CAAGCATCGAAATTACGGCCAGGATTTTCCATTTTGGAGTTAAAATTTGGCATCGTTTATCTTAGAAGACCTTCCCTTATTGAGATTTGGGTGGTTGAGGTGCAATGCTGTCACCAATCCTCCTGGTGAGTCTTAACAAGAAGCAGCATTTGTCTAATATAACAAAGTAGTCTATCACATGAATGCCATGCGTACAAGCTACATTGATTAGTTGGACATAATTACTTAAGACTGTCAGGAGCCAGAGTCAACGGGTTGAATTTTCCAAGGAGTTGCAATCTCACTTCATTTTTATCAAAGGAGAGAGTTCTGAATTTCTGACAGGGGATTTTGATCAGGGATGCTTCAGAAATGTGAAGTCATACTTCCATTTTGACAGTTCTCTCATAGTGCAGAATAAAACCTAAAGAACAGCAGATGCTGCAAATCAGGAATTAAAGCAGAAGTTGCTGGAAAAGCTCAGCAGGTCCTGAGGCATCTGTGAAGAAAAAATCAGTTAATGTTTTGGGTAAGGGTCACCGGACCCGAAACATCAACTGTGATTTTTTCTTCACAGATGCTACCAGACATGCTGAGCTTTTCCAGCAACTTCTGTTTTTGTTCCTCTGATGGTGCAGAGTCGTCAGAAGAAGATAAACCACACCCTCCCCTTCTCACAGCATGTCAGCTGCCTTATTTTGGAACTGAAAGATCGAGAGTCACAGACGGCCATTTTGACTGTTGCTGTCAAATGGTAACTACATCAGCTAAGTGTGAGGTTAGGGTGCCAAGGGTGTAGGGAGATAGGATGCCAAGTAAGTAGGGAGTAGGGTGGTGAAGGGGTGAAGGATCCAGGCATCTGTCATGAGGTGAAGAGGTGGGGACAGTTCCAGAACGGGGGAAGTAGCACCAGGTCCAGTATGGATGAAGGGGAGTCAGGTCTGGGTGCTGTAAGTTATCTGATGTGATGTTATTGGGGTTTGTGTGAGGTAAGTATATGGTCAGTTGAATATTTAATTTGGAGTTAAACCACTTAATAGCCTAATTTTCCCTGAATAACTATTTTACTTAATTTCATCGGAATCCCCTCTGAATTCTTCGCTTTGTATAAAGACTTTCAGTGGGTTCCAGGTGTTGAAGAGTTACCCAGTAAGAATCTTCAATTTCCAGGACAACTCCTTCACAGTCTGCTACAATGTGCTTGATTCTTCTCCCAAGGATTGTGGTGTGTGATCTCGATAGATTGGGCAGACAGCTTCAACAGGAGCTCTTTCAGAACAACTAACTCACATAGCAGGCTTCATTTCCATCATGGCTTTTGGCATGTTTTTGCACACGGCTATGCAATTCTCCACTCACATTGTACGCAAGTAAATTGGAGTGCAAGTGAAATGGTGAAGCATATGTAGCTGGCAGGAGGTTATGACTCCTGCTGGGACCTTTCTGAGTTGGAGATTCTGATGGTATCCTGAAAGGCTAGTTTGGCACCTCCTGACTCATTGGCAAGCCTAAAGCTACAATAAAACCTTTGTTGGCACCTCCTGGGATGTCACAGAGCAATACTAGATGGACACAAGATTTAGCGATGCTTTGTTAAAGGTTATGCTCCTGGCTGTCCAGATCAGCAGAGAGGTTGTCTTCCCAAGTGATTGCTGAGAAAATCCCTCCCAGATGTACTCTCCCCAATCTATTTACCACCCTGCCATCTGCAACATGCCTCTATCCCAATTCTCTCCACTTTACAACACCTCTGGACCAAGCCCCAGTCATGAGCCATAGCACGGATGACACTCTGGACAAAGCCCTCATCAACCCTGGACTGACTACAGGTCAAGATCAGGCATGATCTTATCAGATAGCCTCTTCCTGCTCCAAATTCTTATGTTTATATTCGGAATCCACCGGCCATTTTGCACACCACTAATTTCCCAGTCATGTCAGTAATTTGCCGTCAGTTCTGTGGGCTTCTATCTCAGTTAGCAGTCTCTTGTGTGGGACATTTTCAAATGCCTTCTGGAGGTCCATATAAACAACACCCACAGTCATTTCCCTGTCTGTTAACTTAGTCATCTCTTTGAAAAAATTGATTGAGGTTTGTCGGGCATGACCTACATGTCATGAATTCATACTGGTTCTCCCTGATTGACTGAAAATTTTCAAGGTGTTCAGATACCCCAAACTTGCTTGTAGATTCCAACAAATTCCCCATCACAGATATTAGGCTAACTGCCCTTGAATTCCCTGGCTTCCCTCTTCCACCCTTCCTAAAAAAACGCAGAGATATGAACAATTTTCCAATCCTAGGGAAGATTCCAGTATCTATGGAACTCCAAAAGATTGTAGCTAGGATACCTACAATATGCCCCCCTACTTCCTTTAACACTCTTGAATAGAAGCTGTCAGGCCCTGGGGATTTGTCACTCTTTAATTCCATCAATTGCTTCATTACTGAAGTTTTGCTTACGTTAATTTTATTCACTCCCTGTTTCCAATCTACTATTAATTTCTTCAGGACTTCCAGGATATTATCCTTCTTTCCTATTGTAAGTACTGAGACAAAGTAATAATTCAACATGTCTGCCAAATTTCCCCATAGTCGTTGAATAATTGCCTGAGAAATGCAAAATAGCATTTTACTATTCTTGCACGGGAGATGGACATCACTCCTTAATTGTCCTTGACGAGGTGGTGTTAAGATGTCTTCTTTAACTCTGTTGTATACTTTAACTGTTGCAGTCCATTCAGTTTTGATTTTTCTGTCAGTCTGATACAACTGAGTGACTTTCTTGGCCATTTTTGACAGCTGTAAAGAGTAATGTGCTTTGCTGAGGGACATGGAGTGACACGCAAGCCAGACAAGATAAAATGGTAGATTTCTTTCCCTGAAGGATATTTGACTATCAACAATTTTTCAAATCCAGATTTTATTCATAGAATTTAAATTCCATGAGCTGCCGTAGTGGAATTAATCCATTCCTCCCAGAACATTAAGCCTGGCCTTTGGATTATTGATCCATCAACATTAACACAACTCCATTGCCTTCCAGAGATAGTAGGAACTGCAGATGCTGGAGAATCCGAGACAACAAGGTGCAAGGCTGGATGAACACAGCAGGCCAAGCAGCATCATAGGAGCAGAGAGG